AAAAGATGCTGCACCAATTACAGCCTGCATCTTTCGAGCCATCTGTAAATATTTTATAAGAAGCTTCCATACTGTCTGTTATTGTAATCAAAACATTAATTTAAGACTAAAATTGTTGTAATTTCGTAAAGCTTTTGAAATACGCGGAATATTTAAATCAACTGCATTACTTTAATCTATGTTACTGACCCATGTACTTAAATTACACAGTTCTAGTTTTTGACTACTGTGAATGCGGTTATCGACGAAGTAATCATAAACAGATTATAGTAGCGGTTTCTTTTATTACGCCAATATCTGTTGTTTTTAAAATGGGCTGATTCATTCAACAGTTTTAGTGTGATGTTATTTCTCATTGATCGAGCTTTTAAGATGAATTTCCCTGTCAAAAAAGCTCTTCGTACATGCAATAGAGGGAGGCATAGCTCACTCTCCATTGTATGTGTAGGAGTAGTTTTAATGAATACTCCGATCACCCGTAACACCTGGTTTTGTATTTTGTTTTACTTAAATACTTTTGATAGATGTTATCGAATAAATAACTCACATTATCTAGTCTAGTCCTTATAAGGCAATATACAATCTTCTTAAATGCCTGGAATGTACTCCCCAACCATGTCCTACTACAACTTTAAATATGGTTAAAAATAAATATCGATATATCGAAAAATCTATTTTATTATTTAGAAAAATCGATATTTATTTTTAATATTTTTGGACGACATATATTGAAATATAAGTTTGATATTGAAATATATGTCGGAGTGTCTATAAAATACCCGGTTGGATCGAGGTAGAATGGAGGGTATATCGAGAAACCCCCTCTTTTGTCTATAGTATAAAGTTCACTGTAGGTGCCGTGCGCGAGAGATTCCGCTTCAGTCATTCAACGAGTGTGGTAATTCTACTAGTGCTGAGATAGTGTCGTGATTCTGTTCGTTATTGTTATTCAGCTAGTGTGCAGACAAGGCGGATTGGTGTTACTGCGAGGCTGCCCTGTGTTACATTGAGATAAGTAATGTTGCTGTTGGCTTACATATTTTGGTGTTATCATGTAATTACGTACCTCACGTTACACTGGTGTGTGATTGTGGCAGAGACGTGTTACGGTGTGGTCGAACTGTAATTTCACTATACTGAATGTATAGTGCGTTACGTTGTCTTATTACCGATAATGATTAATTGCGTAAGCACGAGAGCAAGTTGAACATCCGCTCTCACACTTTTATTATTTTTAACACTTAACGCTGTCCTGATATATTTTCGAGACAAAAATTGCGATCCTCTGTTGTATACTCCGACATCAGAAGTGGGATCTCCTGTTGTCATTTCCGATATCAGAAGTGGGATCTCCTGTTCTCATTTCCAATATCAGAAATGGGATGAAGTCCCTGTTACTGCCCACCTATAAACTTTGAATAGTGTGAGGATTATTACGTTGGTGAAATACTATGATACGCTTCGCGTTTTGTTTTTGTGTTTGAATTTCTTAAATCAAGTTTGTTGTCGTATTTACGACACTGACGAATCATTAAAGTGTAGAGTAAAGTTTAAAGTGAAATGTTTTAAGCCAAAAGTTAAATCTTTTTGTTCGATTAATAATAAAAAGTACCCGCAAGTACTTTCATTATTCCTTAACGTACCCAAAATGGAGGTATTCTAAAAGAGTTATAGTTCGCATTCTGTGGAAGTTTAACTTGCTCGAGTTATGTTATAATTTGATACACGAGGTGTGATTTACATGGGCTTATTTTAAAGTTCAAAATATTTAAACGATGTGCCGAAAAACATGTTTACTTTAACGTGCTATAAATTAAAAATCACTAAGTAGTATTTCTGTGTTCTAATGTGTTGATAAGTGTTATAGTTTACTTCGAATATCATGTAGTCGGTAAAATTGAGATTTAATGTTGAAGATTAAGTGGAAGGCGTGGTGCTGTGGCGCTCGCTCTTGAGTGGAAGTAAGCTGTCGGCTTATGACGCCGCGGACACATTTACTGCCGCTGCTTTCGATCACCATTTGATACATGGGTTGGTTGCGAAAAGTGTCGAAAAACCAAAGCATAACTGACGAAGTTATAGTAGAGCAAATTAGTTCTGACATTGAAGAGAATATTTAACTATACATGAGGATCGGACCGTACCAGAGGTTGTCGTGTAGCTGCAGCTCAGTATATGGTGCACTGGAAAGATGAATAGTGTCCCAAGAGTAGTGCTGCATTAAAAAAAACTTCGTTCCAAAAGTTCCTACTGAATTTTTTAATGTTTCTTTTATGTGTTACAGTGGCACGTGTAATGTGATTACATGCGTGCAAGCGTGAGGCGAGTGTGTGCCTTACTAGTCGGAACGGACAACCAGGTCCAGCTGTAGCATGGCCTGATATCGGCAGTATGCGCGTATACGCAGGCGCCAACCCGGAACGCGGGTATGGTGTACATAGCGGTGCCTCGGAAGTCTTATATATATTATAAAATACACGCCCGAGGACGGTCGTACGTCAGGATGGCCGTGTCGGAGTGTCTATAAAATACCCGGTTGGATCGAGGTAGAATGGAGGGTATATCGAGAAACCCCCTCTTGTGTCTATAGTATAAAGTTCACTGTAGGTGCCGTGCGCGAGAGATTCCGCTTCAGTCATTCAACGAGTGTGGTCATTCTACTAGTGCTGAGATAGTGTCGTGATTCTGTTCGTTATTGTTATTCAGCTAGTGTGCAGACAAGGCGGATTGGTGTTGCTGAGAGGCTGCCCTGTGTTACATTGAGATAAGTAGTGTTGCTGTTGGCTTACATATTTTGGTGTTATCATGTAATTACGTACCTCACGTTACACTGGTGTGTGATTGTGGCAGAGACGTGTTACGGTGTGGTCGAACTGTAATTTCACTATACTGAATGTATAGTGCGTTACGTTGTCTTATTACTGATAATGATTAAACTGCGTAAGCAAGAGAGCAAGTTGAACATCCGCTCTCACACTTTTATTATTTTTAACAATTAACGCTATCCTGATGTATTTCAGACATCAAAATTGTGATCCTCTGTTGTAATTCTCCGACATCAGAAGTGTGATCTCCTGTTGTCATTTGCGATATATAGATATACGACAGTCGATATATTTTTTAAATAATTTATTTTTTATTTTTTTACGTAAATCATTTAATCTACAACACCATCGTAAACTTAAATCCTAATACTTGATGGACCCAATCTACTATACTTTATTTACACTATATTATGTTTTTCATTTTTCCCCAGTTTATTTATTTGCTTATTATCTTAAAAGGAAATGTAATTTTGTATAGTATATTTGTGTGATATTAAAATCACTATAATCTATGAAATTTAGTACTTCTTTACTTACTGTGAATTTTGGCAGGAGCTTGACCATCGAAGGATGGTTGCTCCTGTTTTATCGTTTAAATAATCGTTTGAAGTGGATTTTTATCAAAGTGATGCGATTATGTGTATTAAGTGTCTGCACATATGAGCTATCAGAGAAAACGGCAAAATAAGTGCTTCGATGTTGGTATAAGCCTCAAGTTATTTTAACCGCTTAGGCGTCTTATGATTTACTTCCGTGCTATCAGAAATATCTGTTAAATATTTGATTTCTTCAGCTGCATCCGTAGCATCTGAACAAATTACTTCTACAATCAATCTTCTAGTGCCCAATAATCGCAGTATTGAAACAGCTGAACATATACAACAACGAGTATTTTTGAAAACTCTTACTGAAAAATATTGGTAAACATAATTGTCTTATTTAAATTAAACAATAATTAAAGTTAAAGTTACAGCCTTATACGTCTCAATGCTGGGCACTCCTCAGCTGGGCAGGCCTCTCCTACTTTCTGAGAGGGTTTTAGGGCAACTTCCGCCGCGCTGCCATAATGCGTGTTGGCGAACTTCACGTTTTTTGAAATTTTTATTTTATTTCTCAGACATGCAGGTTTCCTCACGATGTTTTCCTTTATCGTCGAGCACGTGGTAAATCAGCACTTAAAATTGCAATTAACAATTTCATTGGTTCCGACGGGGATCGAACCCGGGTTGCTCGCATACTGTGAAATTTACAGCGATCGCTAACCATCTGAGCTGCCACGGTTACTAAGAACTATAACCTAACATTTTCATACATTTATAATTTAATTTGTTTAATAAATATACTAAATTATAAACTGTGTCAATCATTTTTAAGCAATATGTATATCGATATATCGCTTATGCTTTCGATATATAAAACTCCGATATTGATATATTTATAATTATCAATAAGTATATTGAAAACCCGATATTTTAAAAATATCAACAGGCCTAGTTTGAACTAATCAGTTGGAATGATCAGTTGAACTGATGTCAGTTTAACTGACCGTGTATGGGGACCATAAGATGTTAGGTTAGCTAATTACGTAATTACTTGAGACAGAAGGACCCTTAACTAGGGACTGAATAAATTAACCGACTTGGTTTTACATGGATCTCACAACATTTTACGGTAGAACTGAGTTGCGAGACTTGGCTTTTTTACAAGTTATGTTTTTGATGGCATTATAAACAGTTGTCAAGACAGCATTCGTACACTTACCCGCTGCGTACACTTGACACACATGACTCTATATAATATTGTATACTAAAGTATTATTGTCACTTCCGGGCTCAGTCTTTACTTTCAATGTTCCTTAAATATTGATAATAGTGTTACGAGCTTGGGGTTCGAGACAATTAAAAACTGCCGATTGAATTACCAAAATTGACACTTTAATTACACAACACTAATTACAATCTAAAATCACACTAATAATAAAACACAGTTCGCCGTTATTTCGCTTCGAAGTATTCTCTTGTATCGCCAATTCAATACTGCCTCGGTCGTGATCTATACCGGCCTTATATAGGGCTTCAGATAGTTTCCAGAACCTTCTACTGTAGCAACATCTAGAATGTTCGAGTACATATCGGTCCCGAAATTTCTGGAAGGATCTTGACTCTCCTAGTTCTGCTACTCGACACTAGAGGGCGCTAGTGTAACTAGTGTTGCCATGTACAAGACATTAATGCGCGCAGCACTGCCCCCTCCTAAGACATGTTCGTCCCGAGCATTATTGGTCCCATAATAACGCGCCAGTCGATCCATATGGACGATCTTAGGAGTACCTCTGGCACCTTTCTGTATCCGGTAGGTTACGTCATTGATCCTTGTCACAATCCGGTACGGTCCGTCCCATTTAGCTTGAAGCTTAGGAGATTTCCCTTTGCTGTGAGCTGGATTGTGTAACCACACTAGTGAACCTTCATCAAACCCTTTGTTGTTCATTTTGCGGTCATACCGTGTTTTCATCTTCTCAGACGTTTGCTGGCCCGACTGTCTGACGTGCTCATAAATGTCATTCATTTTGTTCCGCAAGTCATTTGCATAATCGGTTATACTGCGTGGGGCATTAGGTGGTATTCCGGTGATCAGGTCTGCAGGCAGCCGTAATTCTCTCCCAAAGTTTGCGAAAGCTGGCGTCACTGATGTACTTTCGTAAACAGCGCTTCGATATGACAACAAAAACGGTTGTATGTGCCTGTCCCAGTCTCGTTGCCGTTTTTCCACAACTTTTGCCAGGTACCTTTCCAATGTCTGATTAAATCGTTCTACCATTCCATCAGATTGTGGGTGGTAAGAAGTTGTTCGTGTTTTATGAGTACCCATAACTCTGCAAGTTTTCTGGAATATTTGAGACTCGAAATTCCTTCCTTGATCGATGTGAATCTCTAAGGGTACTCCAAAACGACAGACAGACAGACAGACAAGACTTCATGAACTAGTTTATCTGCAACTGTTGAAGCTTCTTGATTTGGAATGGCGAAGACCTCTGGCCACTTAGTGAAGTAATCCATCACAACCATGAAATACTTGTTACCACTTTCACTTTCCTGAAACGGCCCCGCAACGTCAATGGCTATCCTCTCCCATGGTGCACCAACATTGTACAATTTCAATGCGCCTCTACTACGAATTTGAGGTCCCTTTACAGCCGCACAACTTGTACATTTGCGGCACCAGTCTTCGACATCGTCACGACAGTGGACCCAGTAAAACCATTCTCGGACCTTCAGTAGAGTTCGTTTAACTCCCAGGTGGCCTCCTGAACAACCACTATGGTACAGCTGTAGAACATCCGGTACTTTAGCCTTAGGGACAACCATTTGCAAATGACAACTGTCTCCCCGACCATTTTCCCATTTACGGCACAGGACTCCATCCTGAATCAGCAAGCTGTCCCATTGGGCCCAAAAGCTTTTCGTGCTCGAACTCATTGATGAGACGTCGCTCCACTTGGACTTAGGAGCACTGGCCTTCATCCATTCCAGAATCGGCTTAATGTCCGAATCTTCCTGCTGTGCATGTTGTAGGCTGTCCTTCCACTCATTGCTGAGCTGGTCTGTCCTGAGCATCCTCACAGATACCACTTCCTTACCCTCTTGCCTACTACAATGCTTGCAATCTTCAGGGCAAGGTCTTCTTGACAATGCATCTGCATTGCCTTTCCCGCTGCGATGTTCGATCACAAAGTCGTATTCCTGCAGTAGTTCAATCCATCTCGCAACTTGTCCTTTCGGATTTTTGAACTGCAATAGCTATTTCAGTGCATCATGGTCAGTTCGTAAGTGGAATTCCCGCCCTAGAAGATATTTGCTAAAATGCTGCAAGGACTTTACCACAGCAAGCAATTCCCGTCTTGTGACACAATAGTTTCTTTCCGGCTTTGACAACGACTTGCTGAAGTACGCTATCACAATCTCTTCATCACCATTCCGTTGAGACAACACACCGCCAAGTCCTATATCACTTGCGTCTGTGTCAACTATAAATTCCTTGCCCGCATCAGGGTACCCCAAAATAGGTGTTTTGCACAGACGGTTCTTGAGCTCCTGGAATGCAATATCGCAACTTTCATCCCAGCAGAAATGTCGCTTCTCCTCGGTTAGCTTGTGCAGAGGTTTGGCTACATCTGCAAAGTTCTTCACAAATCGCCGATAATAAGAGCACAAACCCAAAAATGCTCTAACCTGTGTCTTATCTTTTGGAACCGGCCACTTCTTGACAGCAGCAATTTTCTCTGGATTCGTGCGGATACCTTCTTCCGACACTACATACCCCAAAAACTAACTTGCCGTTTGAATAGTGAGCACTTCTTCGGACTCAACTTGAGGTTGGCACTCTGGATCTTCATGAGCACGCGTTCCAGGTTTTGAAGGTGTTCCTCAAACGTACGGCCTACGATGATGATGTCATCCAAACAGACCAGACAGGCATCTCCAATTAGCCCGGTAAGTACAAGCTCCATCAACCTTTCAAACGTTGCTAGAGCATTGCACAATCCAAACGGCATGACTTTAAATTGCCACAGACCCTTTCCTGTGGAGAATGCAGTTTTCTCCTTGTCCTTAGGGTCAATTTCAACCTGCCAGTAGCCACTTTTCACGTCCAGCGTACTAGACCACTTTACGCCTGTAAGCATGTCCAGCGTGTCATCAATTTTTGGCAAGGGATAGTTGTCCTTCTTCGTAACGTCGTTCGGGCGGCAGTAGTCAACACAAAACTGCATGCTGCCGTCCTTCTTCTTTGCCAGCACCACAGGTGAATGGAAAATGGTGAACCATGGACTAGATGAAGGGTCAATAACACCATCCTTCACCATTCCCTCAATCATGGTTTCCACTTCCTTTTCACGTGCTACAGGCAATCTCCTTGGCCGCTGACGAATAAGCAATTCTTCTCCTGTGTTTATTTTGTGTTGAACTAAGCCAGTCTTTCCTATGTCAGCTTCGTTTGACAAGAAAACATTGGCATACTTGAGTAACAACTTCTTCGCCTTGACCATTTCATTCGGGGAGAGAACGCTGCGACAGTCTTCTAAAAGTGTGGTCACTCTCGTTTGTCCATCCTTGCTGGGGGTCGATAGATATTCGCACCGACGCTACCAATCCACTTCCTCGCTAGTACCAACCAATGTGCCTTTTTCTATAATCTGTTCATGATCACAAAGGTTCAACACACGTACTCCTGAGATGTCGATGGTTCTGACCAAGGTTCGAGCTACTTTCCATGGAAGATCATTGTCTACCCTTTCCACGAGTACACAACGATGAGCTTGCCCAGGACTCCGAGGAAGACTAACCGGCACAATCGTTTCCGATCTCGGCGGAAGAACAATCTTCTTAGGGCTGTACACATTCCCTGGTAACGCCTACTTCCTTACTTACTACTTACTTCCACGAAAAGTTCCTCTTGTCCACATTTCTAAATACCTTGCTTAACGTCGATCTCACAACAATTCTTCCTCATAAAGTCTAGGCCCAGGATGCAGTCGTCCATTATATCAGCCACGATGACAATATGCAGGTAGATCATGTTGCCTAGCTTCAACTCCATCTCCTTCTCTCCACGAACGGCTATGCGCTGACCGGTGGCTGTCACCAAATTAATGCGTTCGCGGTTGTACGCGGAGTCCCCAAGGAACTGACTTATAAGTTGTGAACTGACAAACGTGCGAGAGGCTCCAGTGTCTATGGTCAGTTTACACGGTGTTCCATTGACCTCGCCCTTGATGATCAGGCTGTTCCCATCACGGGTTTGTGAGATCGAAATGCTTGGGGCTCTTTTAACATCAGCCAGCACCCGCCAGTTTCCCTGCTGCTGCTGGGTGGTGCTGTTAGCCATCTACGCTCTCGAGATCGATCACCTTCCCTTTCTACAGTTCGTTTATGGCAGCTGGATCGAAGATGGCCCCTTTCCCCACAGCCGTAGCACCTAGGGCTGTAGCCGTTGTTGCGGTCCCGAACTGTAGCTGCTGCAACCTCCCTGACGCGGTGGGAACGATGATCCTGCCGCACGGCTTCCACCTCCAGTGCATGGGTCAAGGCGTGCTTAAGCGTCTCGTGGTGCCCGAGCCTCACTGCAGCTCTGACTTCAAGGTCGCGGATGCCATCGATGAATATCTGCACCAGGTTCCCTACAATGAGCGCAGATACAGACTGGTATGCTTTTCGAACCAGTTTCTCCACCTCAAGGGCCCATTGCTGCAGGTTTTCGTTACTGCGTTGCACGCGATCTTTGAGCTGTGCACGAAAGACGTGTTCCAGGTGAGCGTCGCCATATCTCGCCTCCAATGCCTCAAGGAGCTGCTCGTAAGTCACTTCCTTACCGAGAGCTTCCAGAACAGATAAGGCCTGGTCACGCAGGCCTGGAGTGAGAGCAGTCATGGCCTGACTTTTATTCTAGCCGTTCGCCTTCATGACAGCTTTGAATTGGATTTTGTAGGCCGACCAGGAAGAAGTGCCGTCGAATGGCGGCACTTTGAATCCACGTAGCGAAGATGTTGTAGCTACCACGGGAGCTGTAACTCCGTCCCCAATTTTGAGGTTGTCCAGCGTTTTCTTCACGTCAACCATCACGTTGTCAACCCGATTGTTCACTTGGTCGATTCGGGTTTCAGCTTCCGACAGGCGGTTGTCATGTTGAGCAACCCTATCCTTCACCTCCCTTATCTCTTTCCCGAAGGTAGCGTGAAGGTCCTTCATGAGAAGAAGCTGCTCCTCCAACCGACGGCCCTGTTGCTCCTGTTGGCGGGCCTGTTCCTCCTGTCCGCGCTGCAGCTGCTCTTCCAACCGACGGGCCTGTTCCTCCTGTCCGCGCTGCAGCTGCTCTTCCAACCGACGGCCCTGTTCCTCTTGTCGGCGGGCCTGTTCCTCGTGTCGCCGAGCCTGATCCTCCAACATCATCATCAGAGCACCTAAGTCAGATGCTACAGATGCAGGAGCTGCTGACAGGCCGGCCTCCGTGGTCAGCATCTGGCCCTCCGACGTTTGCAGCGTTGCATTACCAAATCATCTCTGGTCCGCCTCCAGCTGGCGTTGACTTCGGGTACGCATACCCTCCATGTCGTCCTTTGGTAAAATCGGAATGATTTGATCCCACTTCTGACACCAATTGTTACGAGCTTGGGGTTCGAGACAATTAAAAACTGCCAATTGAATTACCAAAATTGACACTTTATTTACACAACACTAATTACAATCTAAAATCACACTAATAATAAAACACAGTTCGCCGTTATTTCGCTTCGAAGTATTCTCTTGTATCGCCAATTCAATACTGCCTCGGTCGTGGTCTATACCGGCCTTATATAGGGCTTCAGATAGTTTCCAGAACCTTCTACTGTAGCAACATCTAGAATGTTCGAGTACATATCGGTCCCGAAATTTCTGGAAGGATCTTGACTCTCCTAGTTCTGCTACTCGACACTAGAGGGCGCTAATGTAACTAGTGTTGCCATGTACAAGACATTAATGCGCGCAACAATAGTATTTTTATTCAAAGTCCACAACAACTTCAAAATTTGCACTACTTTTAGAATAATTATAAGCAAATACGACGAAAAAGTTGTAGACAACAAATACGAATATAACAATTGTTCGTAATTTAAACGGAAAATATTATACGGTTACATTTAAACAAAGTGGCACTAGTGCTAAGTACGCGTGAGGCAGTTTTATCGCAGAAGACAGAAGTACCAATATATTATGTCTATTATCTAATTCGCAACAAAAGGTTTCCCCCGCGCTATTTTTCACATTTAATCTTACGAAAATTTACGAGTCTTTTTACTATTGCAGTTTAAAGCGCAATACTGAGTAATTATTGTA